CGTAACAATATGTGTTTTGTACTGCTGTTACACAGCACAAAACGCATAAAAAAGCTGCAAAATAAAGAAGGAACTATTGGCAGCCTTCTGTTAGGTACTGGAAATGTAATGTCAAATTTGGATGATGCAAGCATTGGAAAACGGCATCAAAATACAGGACTTGAAATCGCAATTCGACGATCGACATGAGCGCGAATCCCAGCAAAAAGACTTTCCATCGATCCACATGCCAAGACTTATGTCTACTCTTAATTGAGATTAAATATTAAAATAGGGAGGTGAAAGGTAGAGCAAATGTATGTGTAGAGTTAGATTTATAGGGAGGCATGCGCCAAGCTTTCGGCTCTGGGTTGATAATCTGTGATCTTGACTAACGATGAAGACTATGCTGTTGTATTGGTGTGTGTGTGTGTTTGTGTGTGCGTGTGTGTGTGTGTGTGTGTGTGTATGTGTGTGTGTGCAATAAAGTTGTCCTAACTCAGTCGGATCGTCGCGTCAAGATCGGCGTCGCAGTCGTTTGTCCAGCGTACAGTCTTCGTCTCTACATCTCATTGAATAAAGCCCCCCTTTCACCTCTTCGTTTTCGGTCCAGACAATTCAACATCGGGAACAACGACGTAATATCTTCCCATGCGTTTTTGCACCAAACTTGAAGTAATTAGGTTAACTGCATGAACAGTTTTTTCTTCACACCTACCTTGTGCGCTCAGCGCCGTAAATCATCGTAAATTTTGCATAAAAGGAAATAAATAATTGGCTGCTGCTGCTGGCAAGTACCACAGATTGAGCTACTCCCAACTGCTTTCATCTTTCATAGAGCAAATACGGAGAGGGTTTTGACTTTTTTTTTACTACAAATTAGTCATCCAAGCTACCTTTTACTTCATTTTCTTCCACTTTTCCTCTATTTACAGCTATTTTAATTGAATGTAAAATATATGGTTAATTTCAAATAAGTCAGTCAAAATAACTCACCTTTACAATGTCCCTCAATTGCGGAAGCGTAGCACGTGGCTGAGCAAAAAACAGGTACGGTGGGACCAATTCGAACCAATTTTCCAGATTTGCAGCAGCCGACTTGATTGCCTCCACATCACCGGCGATGATTAATGCTACATTCTGCGCCTCTTCAGAGGACTGGAAAGTACCGCTTCTGCACATTTTTTGCACTTTCTGAAAGTAGGCAAATTCTCAAATTTCTATG